ATGCAAATCCTATATACATGTAATACAAAAAGTAGAGAGAATGTCAATAGCTATCTTATTATTACAAAATACAAATTCATTTTAATTTTGATAAAAATGCTAATATCCCTTTGCTAGTGTAGTATATACCTTGAGTGCTTCAAAGATCCTCTTCCATTCTTCCTTTGAAGGATCAACTCCTGTAGGGTTATGGGCACAAGTGTGTAGTATCACAGCTGATCCTTCAGTAGCAGACTATAGGAACATAAAATATTATTAATGGAGAGAGGGGGAGCAGGAGAGACCTTCAAGTCTTGAATCATGCCCTCAATTATCAAGTCCTTTGGTGGTCGGATCAAAGTAACGATATTCTCTAATTTGAGTGAAGCCAGTGTTGCTAGCAATACCACAATGATTAGCTACAGAGGAGGCAAAGAAAAGAGGTATGACAATAGAGATAAAGGGGAAGATAAGGAGTGCAATGAATATGATGATGATCACACATTATGACATATTATATACATTATGCTTACACCAAGTTGGATTAGATATATAAATTGTGTCAATTTCAAGGAATTTCCTGATGAGTTCCAATGCTGCACGGATACTACCAGTACCAGATAAACACTGAATAGAACATACTAACAAAGGGAGAGACATAACAGGATTGAATAATGAATTTAGTGAGAGTCACACCTAATGTACACTGTACATGTACATCAGAATGATAATACATTTGTAAGTGCATGAAACCCTGCACACATCAAAGGCAATCATGCAATAGTGCAATATAGCAAATTCCTAAATGAAGCACATCAGTCTGATGTACATGTATTTACTCAGCCATGTAAATATAATCATAAAGGCTCGGCTACCATAAACGGGCTATTCATAGCTATAGGCTATTATTTGTAGTTATATAACTGAGTCAATAACTTTTACACACATACTCTGCATTATTGTCTTACTCTATTTTGCGTTATTGTCTTACTCTGTTTTGCGTTACAGCTGGTCCATCTGATCCCAGTACAAGTCTTGTTGCAGATTCAGTGAATGACTTGAGCCTATCAATCCCCAGGTACTCGTGACTGAGCTACCCAGGGCTGGCCCTCTTCATCCCTGTAAACTATTGAAGAAATAGGAATAAAGGCAAGGAAGCAATATCTATATAATATTGTAAAACTACTCCTGCATATTAAAAAAAGGGGTTGTTTTAAGTAAAAGATCAGCTCACCGCCAACTGATAGGTTGATTTTTTTGGGGAAGGTGTCCTCCTTGTATTTTGCCAGTACGTTGAATACAGCATTGGGAGGAGCTGCTTCCATGCCATCGAAAACTGAGGTCGGAGAAGACATGTTTCATACAAAGGTGTGGCTGTCGGAAAATGCACAATGTGAATGTAATGATGTAATCATACCGTGCTTTGCAGGTTGCTTGACCTTGCAAACTCGTAATCACGTGACTTTCCCCATACTAATAATACATGTCACGTGAGCAGGAAGTAAGAAAATTGGGTCAAGCAACCTGCAAAGCACGGTAGATACCGTGCTTTGCAGGTTACTTGACCTTGCAAACTCGTAATCACATGACTTTCCCCATACTAATAATACATGTCACGTGAGCAGGAAGTAAGAAAATTGGGTCAAGCAACCTGCAAAGCACGGTAGATACCGTGCTTTGCAGGTTGCTTGACCTTGCAAACTCGTAATCACATGACTTTCCCCCATACTAATAATACATGTCACGTGAGCAGGAAGTAAGAAAATTGGGTCAAGTAACCTGCAAAGCACGGTATAATCCAATCCAAATAATCCAAATAGGCTATAAACCTAGTGAAAGTCTCAAGTCCAATAGTCTCATCCAGTCAATCATCTTCCAGAACCAAGCATCGACGAAGTGAAGAGATATCTAAGACCAGACATCAGTTGAGTTTGGGAGATGACAGCTGCCAGATCATGTCAGAGCTAAAGATGATACTATCAGAAGGGCGGGACAAGCTATTGAAAGAGGCAGGGTTTCATATTACCATCCCTCCTGAACAAGGATTAGCCATGAAAGCTGACTTGTGCTTGCCATGGCGAAAGCTAAGAGTAATGAAGAGGTATACATTTATATAATATAGAAGTAGAACTACATGTATACTTACTGAATAATGAATTGTGATGAATCTTTATACTCTAGATGGATGAAGTCTTGGGGAGCCAATATGGCTAGTGAGGGTAAGCAGAGATCCCTAATGAAAAGCCAGTTGTCAGAGCTACCAGTTGAAGGAGAGTCTGTACCATTTGCATTTAATTTGAAACGCGGTGGTTACGAATTATGTCCAGCTCCATTAGCGTATGCCAATGACTTGCAGTCAATGCTATTTCATCTGCTCGAAGAGAAACAGAGGTATGTATTATAAATTCAATTTGATTTAAATGTAGATACATGTACTGTACATGTAGATTAAATCAGTTAACCTGGCATAATGGTGTCATTCCTGATAATGAGATCTGGGTGAAGATAGGAGGAGACAAAGGTGGTTCCTCATTTAAAACCTCAATCCAGGTGGTAAACATTGACAAACCCAACTCTGTACGCAATAGTTGTGTGTTTGTTGTGTTTGAGGCACCTGACTGCTCTTCAAATCTTCACCATAAAATTCATGATCAAATAGACCATCTACAAAATTCCTGTTGGAGGTACATTAAAGAAGTAACTATTATTGTCATAATTTTTTTATCAATTATGTAGAGGTTACACTATCAGAGTATTTATGTCAGGTGATTATGAATTCTTGTGCTACATGTATGGGTTATCGGGAGCAAGTGGTATGTATATGTACATGTACATGCATATAATTATAAAGTTTCACCTTTCAATAATTAGGTCATCACTGCTGCTTATAGTGTTCTATATCACAGGACCAATTAAGTATTCCACTTGTAGCACGATACAGTGAGATCAGG